TACTGTTAGGTTATTTCAACAGTTTTGTCCGTTTTTCTACGAATTCAAATTGAACCAAAGCGCTACCGAAACAGCCCGAAAACTTAAGCGGGTATTTGGCAATGATAGTGTTAATAAACGCACTGTTCGATGTTCATTTGAAAAATTTCTTTCCGGATTCTACCTTCGAAGATGAGCCCCTAAGTGTCCGACCCACAGTAATCCAGAACACAAGGCTTTGAGGACCCTGATGAAGACTGACTCATCACAAACGTTGCCTGGGATGGCGGAAGAACTGGATGTCAGCTACCATGCGAGTTTTGATGGTTGAAAAAGTATTGGAAAGGGCGAAAAGCTCGAAAAGTGGGTGCCCTATGATTTGAACGATCGACAGAAATTGTCATGTTTCAAAGACTGTTCTTCTTTGCTTTTGCACAACCAAAACGATAACTTTACCACCGGTGTAACCCTCGCCAATCAAAACAAGGCAAAAAATGCTTTCTTCGACTTCATCGAATGCAATGGCGCTCATTTCGATTGACTTAAATGAGTATTCACTGAGATATCACAGTTCAAAGTTTATTCATAAAAATGGGCAAAACTTTGGAAACAACCGAATATTGATGTGCCAAAAATATCAGATTATCCTTTTATGATACCCTGATTCTACACAATTGCATATGCAGATGACACAGTTATCTTGCAGACCGGCAAATTTGAGAACACACTGTGCGATAAAGCGCAGGATGGGCTCGAATTAATAGAAATGAAAATACAGAAAAACCATAGGTAAATACTTTAAGAGACATTTTAATTGGATGAATAATAGTATTTTGGTTGAAAGTTTACTCCATGGAAGTTTCAACTGTTGAAAATAGAAACATAGTGTAAGGAACACTAACTGTTGATCTATCCCAAGAAGACTGAGATAGTACTTTTTATCACGAAAAGAAGGTTATCGGGCCTAAAACCTCCCGAAATCTTCGAAAGCAGACTAAACGTTTCTGAAGAGGCGAAATACCTTGGTGCTACTCTCGACAGGAAGCTAACATGGAACTCTCACCTACAGAGTAGAGCAATAAGAGCATATGTGGCTTATGAGCAATGTCGGAAGACAGTTCTTTCACCCTGTATGGTCACCTAGATCTACACTGCAATAATAAGACCTATGTTAACGTACGGAGCCATTGCATGGGGACCGAAAGTTCTACAAGCAACGGCCATCCAAAAATTGTATCAAATACAGCGATTGGCTTTTTTAAACATGACAGGAGCCATGAGAACAACACCAACCGAAGCAATGGAATTAATTACTGGTCAGACTCCTCTGGACCTGTACGTTAAGGAGGTTGCGTGAATGGCCATATTACGATTGCGCACGGCTGGTGTAAACCTGGAAGTAGGAATGAGTCAATTGAGTCTGAGCCTATGGCGAGAAGCGCTTACTGCGCAACCTCTTGCTGCAGACAGCCAGTGATGCAATGGAACTAATTGTAGACGAGCTCTATTAGCCTTGAACAGACAACGTGTTACCTCAGGTGTCACATAGATTTAGCTAAAGCCCCGGTAGATAATAACATTACCCTGAAGTGGGTTAAAGGGCAGACAGGATTAAAGGTAATCGCATTGCCGACCCTTTAGCCAAGGAAGCGGCTAGAATAAGAATTGTAGGACCCAGTGACACCTACGGCTTGATATCTTCGACAATTGCGGAACTACCCAAACGTCACACCCATGCTCAATCCCTGATGGGATGCCATCAAAGGATGCAGTCTTGTCATGATCACCCTGGGCGACCCTGAGAAGCTGGCGCCGAAGAAATATCTGGCTATGATCATGAAAAACCTACGCTTAACAGTAGGATTTCTAACTGGCCACCGTCAACTAAGGAAACACCTTCATGTCATGTCATGTCATATCATGTTATATCATATAATATCATATCATATTTCATTATACTGTATTGTATCATATCATATTATATTATATTCACTGCTGCTGATAGTGTGGTTTCCGTTGTTCTCGTTTTTATAATAATAATAATATATTTATTGCCATGGGTTTTCTATGAAAACGTTCATTTGTGGCTGTTACAAAAATAGAAGAAAGTATGCATATACAACTCATACATTACTCATACTTATACATTCTGGACGAAACAAGTCTCACACCCTATTCAGTCTGTTGATTGCGGTTGCTTATTAATACTTTTGCACCAAACCAAAAATGCTTGTATTATAATTGGTTAATTCATCAATTACTATAGCCGAGATAACATGTCTTGTTTCAGCCCCCAAATCTAATCGTAGATGCGTCTGGCCGGCATCCTAGATATCAAGCAAAGTCATTCTAAATTTGGAAACCGTCAACTTCCTGAATTGAATTCGTCAGGATTTCAGTATCAGCACGAGGAAAACATCGTTGAAACGTGGCTGAAATCGTGCCGTGCCTGTCTACAATAAAAAAATATTTGGGTGAGATATTGTGTAGTTATAAACGAGGCTTTCTGAATTTCGAGCAATAGATCTGCGAATACAAGTATTGATAAGGAAACCATGAAGTGCGAGAACAATGAACTGATTGATGGGAAGTTTCCTAATGGGAAATCCAAATTTAAAGATTTGCCACCCCTGACAGGATTCTCAAGTTTGTTCTACATCTGCATAAATGTCAATGAAAATGTAGGTGACATATATGAGCAAACTATCCTAAGTTCGATCAATTTTATAGCATTTTCCTTTATGTGCCACGAAGAGATGGATTAACCTGCAATTGTCACATTCTGAATTGGAAACCTAAATTGGCGAATACAAATCAAAATGCTAAAATGCAGAATTATACGAATATGATGGGCATAACAAATATAAGAACATCGATGACAGGCGAAGTTCGACTTGAATTGCTTTTCTATTCAACCTCGTTAACAAATCATATATACATTGAGCAGATATACTCATCAAAATAATAATAATAATAATGAAGCAATATACAGGCAGCAATTCGAAAACTTGTTTTCTCTGATAGCAATGGACCGAGGGAATCTTGTTGACTCACCCTGTATATATATGGGGTGAATATCCAGGAATTGCATGGATCGGTTGTGGGAAAACTATAACTAGAAAGAATCTGAAAATTTGATAACATACTCAAGTCAATGATGGCAACTGGGCTAAAATATTTTCAAAATGGCATTTCCGGTTATACCGGAAGTAGCTGCCAACTTCGTTATTTTGAATGAAACACCCTATATATCAACACATTTATGAATCCTACATCAGAATCTAAATGTATGATGGGGCGGGTTGGCTGTCCTTATTCATCTTTCACTGCCTGAACCACTGTGCATGATGTTTGCAGACTCTACAATAATTAACAATTTTTCCTATAAGGACACCTTCATCACTATGTATTAATAGGGTTTCTTGTAGAGAAGAACCAAATTTAATGAAATTTCGATAATTATCAATACAGGGTGGTCAAAAAAGAAGAATAT